TATATAAGTACTGTGTATGCGTGTAATGGATATCAACCTGAATAATGGTAGCACCTGACTATTGATACTGAGATCCTGGGTTCAATCCCTTGTCCAGCCATACATTTTCTCCACTCCTTTTATAACTGAATTTAATTTAATAGCTATATTCAGTAAAACTCAGTTATAGCTAAGTCCTGCCAGGGACCTGTGAATTTAATTTGTTATATTTGTAATTCCTCGTAATATCCATATAAGAAATTCATATAACAATATATAGCGAATTTGCTATAATCATGTTTTCCCTCAAATATTACTACCATACTTACGTTAGGGAAACAAATATTACAAAACATACCTTCGATAACCAAGGTTTTATTATGATTTGAATTTTATATACAAATGCTGAAATAAAATAAAGTAAAACAACAGAAGGTCGTGACCCTGCTGAGTGACCCAGACAACAGAAGGTCGTAACCCTGCTGCGTGACCAGGACAACAAAAGGTCGTGACCCTGCTGAGTGACCCAGACAACAGAAGGTCGTGACCCTGCTGAGATACCCTGTGAGACAACAGTGTTAAACAGACCGTACTGGAGAACAGAATCACAAAGCTGCACGTGTCTTCTTTAGCAGACAGAAAGGTACTCACTTTACCAAAACCAGGCATTGAAAAATACTTTTCTCATCAATAATTCTACAGTCTGATGTACGGATGTTAAGTTGAAACGTGTTTGAGTTGTGGTAGTTGTTTGAAGTTTGATCTCATTCTCTAGCCTGATATGGAGTAAATGTGGTTTAGGATGGTTGATTTGAATGTTCGAAATGTTAATTTCTCTAGCCTGATATAGAGTAAATGTGATTTACGATAGTTGATTTGAATTTTTAGAAATGTTAATTTCTGTATTTAATTTTCAGCCAATGACATTGATTATTTCGATCGATCCTCAATGAAAAGGTAAGATAATTCAGGTTTTTGTTAAATAACAATTAAAACTTAATAAAGTCTTGAATGAAATAAAGAAGACTGTCTCTGATCAGTGCTGTACTGTATGTGTACTGTATACAGGGTTATTTTCAGCAAGTGTTATTTCGCACTTTCACAGTTGCAAACAATTTTTTCCAGGCACTTTGAATTCATCTAGTTATAGCTTTGTTTAAGAAATTATACTGAAATCTTTGATTTCGCCTGAATGAAGGTAGGTGGAAGGGGCAAAAATTTCCCTGTAAACGGTATTTAGAATAGCAGGCTTCATATTTAAGAGACTTTGGAACAGATGATAATGTGTTAATTTATGAATACAGTAAAACTCAATTTAGTGATTAATGTCCTGTATACAGTAAAAATCGTTTAATACGAACACGGATATTGTGAATTCACAGATATTATAAGTGAACTAAGTTTGAGTCCCATTGAGGTTATATATATTGAATTTTACATCTTTTATAATGAACTTTCCAGGGGCGGATACAGGATTTGTGATTAGGGGGGGGGTGGATAACTTTGTTGAGGCAAAGGGTATGGGGGCCGCCTGAAGGCCCCCACTAGGTCCATGGTGAAGCTCCTGGGTTTCATGTATTTTAGAGTAATTTAAACCAGGCGCACTAATAGTGCATATTTTTCAATTATTTTTGTTAAAAGTATATAGCATATAGGTGGGGGCCCATGGGGCGAAGCCCCCGGAAGCTCCTGGGTTTTCGTGTATTTTAGAGTAAAACCAGGCACTATAATAGTGCATATTTTTCAATTATTTTTGTTTAAAGTGTAAAGCATATAGGTCCGGATGTTTGAATAATAAATGTATTGAATGTTTCTCATTTCTCATTGTATTGTAACAGATGCCACTATATAATAAACGATTTAATTACTTATTACTTACTAATAGTGGTATTGGTGAGTGATGTACCAAAGTACGTCGTGTTTAATACTAATCATGTCATACTTTGAATGATGGGGGCCCAGAGGGCGCAGTCCCCGGAAGCTCCTGGATTTTTGTGTATTTTAAGGCCCTTTCACAATTGGCGCACGAGCAGAAGCGACAAAATATTCGTGCGACCGAATAATTTTGTTAGGATTGTAAACTGTTGCCAAAATAATCGCATATGAACAAAGTGTTTGCACGAAATGCGCACGATTTCAAGCGACTGTTGTGCATTAAATCTTGCGATCTATGTTGCGTCTATATGCGACTGTTGTAGAATGAAAGCGAGTGTTGTAAGATAATGCGATAGGATTGCACGACTGATCAGGTAGTCGGACGATTGAACGTGCGACAATACGATTGGACGTGCAGTGCTCGTGCGTTCATGCATTCCATAGTACGAATGTTCGTGCGAGTCAGAGGGCCGGGTATATAAACCACCCGTTTCCGACGCTCTTCAGTTGACATAGTTAAGATGCTGATAATTATACATGATATATATATCTGTTGCAAAGAATGGCAATTGAAGGTGATAAATCAAGCAATGATAGTAAAACGATGCAAGATTACATGAGACATGTTGAGCAACAGTCTCATGGTCGCAAAACACACGCAAAGACAACTGCGATTCATCTTACGATCTTTAAAAATCGTACATCACTCTTACGAGTACATAAAACGTTGTAAGACGTTCGCACGAACTTTCGTGCGTTGAATTGCGATAATTTGGATCGCATTTGGTCGCGTCTGAATAGTGTGCATGTTGACTATTTTGAAGAGACTTGATGCGACCACTAAAACACATGCAATGAATGCAAGACATCGTGCAACGTATACGAGAGCTCGTGCGAAGCTAAAATTTTCTGATCGCAAAGTGTTGTAAAGTGCTCGTGCGCCAATTGTGAAAGGGGCTTTAAGAATAAAACCAGGCATAATGACAGTTATTTGGTTAGTTTTGTACCAAATTGTGGCATTATAAATATATGTCACATCATACTTTGAAAATTTTAGGGGGGGGGGGGGGGGCGTGCGCCCCCACGTCCCCCCTTAAATCTGCCAGTGCTTTCTTCCTAGATTATAAAAAAAATGATAAATTGAACTTACTCCATTTCCTTATAGCATTTGTAAATAAAACTCGTTTCATAAAAAAAACCTTTCATGTAGTTATCGAAGATATGTTTTGTTATATTTGCTTCACTAACATAGTTGGTAGTTATACTTGAAAGAAAACATGCATAGTGTTTATTTGCTTTTTTGTTCTTACAAATTTGTAATACAGATGTAACGAATTACGGATATATTTAAAAATTTACAGGTCCCTGGGACTTCGCTATAACCGAGTTTTACTGTAAAAAGAAAAGTGCATCATCAAGGGGAATAACTCTTCTAAGCAGTAACGTTTATCTTCTCTTTGTAATACTATTCAGTAATGACTTTATTGAAATTTAACTGACTTAGCCAAATAATTTGTTATTAAATACTAGTACATGTACATAATTAAAGAATATGTTATCTACTAGCAGGTTCAAGTTTCTCAAGACCATGCATTCTTTTCCACAGCCTTCAATGATGGTACAGTCACATTATGGGAGTCTGAAAAACTGGAGGTAAACAGTGTTGCTAACCGCTCTAAAAAGAACCTCAAGAATGCTTCTGTACCTGGTAAAATAACAAATTACTTTGATATACACTGTATTATGTCATTGAATTTTCTTTTCTGAATATCCAATTTTCTCTAAATCGTCAGAAAAAAAATTTCAGATGAAAGAAAAATATCTGATATTTTAAAATTATCTGATTTATACTTGAATATAGATACGTATAAGTGCTGTTTATTTCTTTGTTTGACAAGGAGAGAAAGTGAAAGGTTTAGTTTTCTGTGAAGCTCCTTCATCGGTTCTGTCTCTAGCCACATTCACGGACATGGGGCAATACATCTAAAAGTCGATCAGTAGTGTCTTTTATATACATGTATTGAAGTTAGAAATACAGTATATGAATTGTTTCTTTTAATGATTTACTTTTTTTAACAGGATAGATACAGGAAAGGCTAATTGGAACAAAGCAATTAATGTGGACGAGCCCGACTGTGCATGGAAACATAGAAGATCTCACGTACTTGGATACAGGTACAGCATTGTACAAATATATGTATCTTGACATACATGATTACTGTATACAGGAAAATTTTCGCCCCCGTTTTATTTTCGCCCCTTTCGCCCTTCCCTCATATGGGCGAATTTAAAACGGGGCAAAATAAAATAATACAGTATAATTTCTTTACTAAAACTATGATTGGGCGAATTTAAAACGGGACAAAATTACTTGCAAGTGTGAAAGGGCGAAAATTAAACTGGGCAAAAATAACCCTGTATACAGTATTTAGATATGTACATGTATTGTAGAAGTACTTTTTTCCATGTGGTATTAATTTACGCTATGTACGTTAGACACAAACTTTCCGCGGAAATTTGTCCTAGCATACTTAATATAATACTGTGGCATATAGTGACAGTCTAAGAAATTTGCTTAATTTTCTACCCGCAGATTAAACAGAAATTGAGATTCTGCGGAATTATGACCCTGTGGAAAAGAGTACGTCTACAGTATTATGAAATAGGCAATTTGATAAATTGTGTAAAGTGGGAACAGAATGATGAAGAACAAAGGAAAATGTTTAAATGTTGACGTCTTAAATATTTTGTTCAAATTTGGAGTGTGGGATATCTTGGTGTATGAGTTCTTGAAAGGTTCTGTCCTGTTACAGGAGCCCAGTCTGTTTTATCATATACAGTGTATTGGTTCTTGCTACAGTCAATGGGTTCTTGCTACAATCAATGGGTTCTTGCTACAGTCAATGGGTTCTTGCTACAGTCAATGGGTTACTTCTGGCTACAGTCAATGGGTTCTTGCTACAGTCAATGGGTTTTTGCTACAGTCAATGGGGTCTTGCTACAGTCAATGGGTTCTTGCTACAGTCAATGGGTTCTTGCTACAGTCAATGGGTTCTTGCTACAGTCAATGGGTTCTTGCTACAGTCAATGGTTTAATTCTGGCTACAGTCAATGGGTTAATTCTGGCTACAGTCAATGGGTTCTTGCTACAGTCAATGGGTTTTTGGTCATGATCTTAACTCTGATAAGGAAGTGTGGAAGCTCAGAAATGATCCAAAATCAGGTAACAAGCAAAGCAATTAAGTCATACACTGTACACAGGGTAGTCAATTAAAAAGGATTAGAATTTAGAAGTAACTTTTGATTTGAGAAAAATCTGTGTATAATCATTCTTAAAATAAGAAAAGATAATCATTTTTAACATAACATCATATCTGAAATGTTAATATTTGGAACAGATAACATTTTTGTTGGTACATTGTATTCAACTTTTAAAACCATCATACTAGATTTTAACAATTACAACCAATTGTCTGCATTCTGTACGTATAATGGTGGACTTTTGTAGGTCTGATCACTTCCTTTGCTGTACACCACTCCCAGTGTTGGTTGGCTGTTGGGACTAGCAGTAAGACACATGTCTGCTGGGACGTGAGATTTCAGCTTCCCATCGACTCCATGGTCCACCCTATAGGTAGAAATCAATGTGTCTTTCTTAATAAAAAACTGCCCTTCATTATTGGTAAGTCTTTATATGGATATTTATATTGCTATGGACAGGTGCCCTTATTATTGGTAAGTTTCCATATTGATAATTATATTGCTATGGACAGGTGCCCGTATTATTGGTCAGTTTTTATATTGATAATTATATTGCTATCGATAGGTGCCCGTATTATTGATAAGTTTTTATATTGATAATTACATTGCTATGGACAGATGCCTGATCATGCACCCCCAGGAGCAGTCCTGGCTAATATCAGCCACCCAGGGAAATAATGATTGTGTCCATATGGGAAGTAGAGACAAGGGCCAGACAAAAAGCCTGTGGGCGAGTCCTACACCCACAGTCTCAATCAGGTCAGTGACATTTTGAATTCAGAATATGCGAAGCGAAATTTTCACAAACTGTCGTCTAGACGTATAGACCACGTTTAAAGCACAGGAGTCGGCAATAAACAAATTTGAATCTACACAACCTGAGCATGCTTCCATGTAAATATTATGAATTATGGCTTTGTCATTCTTGAGAAAAATATTTTTAAAGAATTTTCCTATATACTAGGGTTGTTTGAAAAGTTCGTGGACAACTGTCATATCTTTTTTATTTGACGTCTTTTTTTACCCAAATTTGGTAGAAATATTTTAACGATAAATCCAAATGATATGTATTAATTTTAACAAAATATTACTATTGATTAAAAACTTATCTAGATTTTAAAAATGCAAAAATCAGATCGCGGAGCAGGTCAAAATTTAGTCGGTAACAACAATGCATGAAATAATGTCTATAGTCATATTCTCTGTAAAATGGAGGAAAAACGAAAAACTACCTGGGAATTCAAATTAAGAATTGTTACATCGATACCTGTGCCAAATTATGGTTTTATATTTTACTTTGTTGAAAAGAAATCAACTTGAAAAGATAAGTAGTCCTTATTGAAAACGACAAAAACGATGACGTTTTAGAACGTTACGGAGCAGCAGATACCGAAGCAATTTTGTGTTTTTCTCAGGAAAAATCCTGAATAAACTCTAAAAATGTTGAAGGAATCAAGAAAATATGTCACAAGCCTGTTGTGCATGTGTGTACAAATAGTACAGGCAGTATTTGAGTGACAGGGACTCTGTATCAGATGAGGCTGACCTGTGAAGAAACTGTTTAACTGTAAACATCTGAACAAAATTTAAAATTTGAAACGTAAATGAAAGACAAAGGCGCTTCAGAGTTGCTTATCCTGTGAAAACAGAGTTAATTACTAAAAGAAATTAAAACCTTAACAAAGGAAATTATACAATGAGATTAATTCTTTAAAAATGAATGTCAAGTATTTGAAAAAGAATTTAATGAATTGGCATTGGAATATTCTGAGTGAAATGTATAAGTGGAGTAACTATTATAAATTCTGAACGTTTTGTGTTGACGTTACATTTCCGTTTTGTGTGCTCCGCGAGTACATAACATGTTGATTTTAAAATGAAGAAAATTTATTTGTGTTAAATAGAATGGAATGAAACTTCAAACATCACCAAAACAAATAATTTTACATATTATAATGTGCTTGTTTTAAATTTCCAGTGAGTAATATAACAAGGATGGACATCGTCCACGAACTTTTTGAACGACCCTCGTATTTCTATGTAAAACTTAGGTCAGTCATTTTGGCCCCTCCTAATCCAGGGGGTTATGATTTAAACAAACTTGAATCTACACTAAGAATGAATGTTTCCCCATAAGTTTCATTTTTCCTGGCATAGTGGTTCTTGAAAAGAATATTTTTAGTCCCCCACTGGTGAAACCGTCTGTCTGTCTCCGTCAGTCTGTCCCACTTGGTTTTCCGCACTTTTTTTTTCTAAACACTTGTAGATAATGAACTGAATTTCGGGATGTGATCTTAATGAGTTAGAGATCAAGTTTGAATTTTGCATCACTTCATTGATTTTTGACAGAATTATGGCATTTTGAATATTTTTCATAATTGCTTCATTAAGATCAGGTTCGAACTGGGCTAACTTCTTACTGTTCTTGAAAAGAAGTCAAAATATGTGAAAAGTTTTTAGACAGACTGACAGACAGCTAGACAGACAGACGGACACCGGGCATAATGTGATCAGAAAAGCTCACCTGAGCTGAACAGAAAAGCTCACTTGAGCTTTCAGCTCAGGTGAGCTAAAAAGGGACGGTCTTACTAAAATTTTATACTGATGACCATTATAAGTCAACTAGTTCATTCAAATATGTTACAAATATTTTCGACTGCCAACATATTTATCAATAATTTACCTATATATCTAACATTTATATTTGGTTCCTTTAAACTATAACATATTTCTCTTAACACTGAAATTTAAGTTGCACAATTATTATAATTAAATTGTGCTATTTAAAACTATATTTTGAAGAATACCAATTCCTTAAAATTGAAAGCTAACTTTTGTAAATGAATGCATTTTATTTTACAAGCACAGAAAACAGTGATTCAAAAAGCTATGCTTTAATCATTTCATTTTCTTGTTATGGAATTAGATATTATTATAGTAAATGTTATTTTCAATATTACCTCTTTAATTTTGATTTTGATGTTCAGCGAATAAAAATTATTTATCTTGTATCAATTCACCATATTTGAAATTCATATCTTCATTACACATGATGTTCTTATCTGAATAAATGCAAAATTATTATCCAATTAAACCTGCTTTTGAAATTAAGGAAAAACAAGTATGAAAAAAATGATACATTGTATATGAAGCAATATGGAATATTTCCACTCAATTCAAATAAAAACAATTAAGTCATAGGAAAAGGTACACAATTTTGTAAAATTTCTTTAACTAAGGTTAAAAATTGCCATTAATCAGACTGAAATTTCAATATTTTTAAAAATATAATGGTGTTAATTTTGAAAATTTAGGGAAGCGTTCTTCAAGACAGGGGATCTACACATTCCTAAGGACTTCCAGACGGCTTTGAACAGGACTTTCCGTATAGGCACTCTCCTCTGCCATTTCAAGCAGTCCGAGCTTCTGCAGCTGGGTGCACATCTGGCCTTAGAGGCGAGGAAGAGGACCCAGTCTGTCACCTACAGAAGGAAGATGGTTGCCAATGCCGGAAGACAGGAAGGAACATCCATGATATTCCTTAGCCCCACCCAGATTCTTGACCTTGCCACGGGGTCTTTGGTAAAATTATATTTTCAATTTTTAGCTCACCTGAGCCGAAGGCTCAAGCGAGCTTTTCTGATCAAAATTTGTCTGTTGTCTGTTGTTGTCGTTCTTGTGGTTGTCGTTGTCGTAAACTTTTTCCATTTTCATCTTCTTCTCAAGAACAACTGGGCCAATTTCAACCAAATTTGGCACAAAGTATCCTTGGGTAAAGGGGATTCACGTTTGTTCAAATGAAGGGACACACCCTTTTTCAAGGGGAGATAATCATGAATTTGTTAAAAATTAATGGCATTTTAAGAAAAATCTTCTTCTCCAGAACCACTGGGCCAGGAAAGATGAAACTCATGTGGAGTCATCCTCAGGTAGTGTAGATTGAAGTTTGTACAAATCTTGACTCTGGGGCAAGGGTGGGGCCAAAATGGCCGACCCAAGTTTAACAGGGCGGGGCCAAAATGGAGGACTCAATTTTTACATTAGGGATATATAGAGAAACCGTTTAAAATCTTCTTTTCAAGTACCGGTACATGTATTTCAAAGCTATTATTAGTGATATTTATATGGAATTATCCTCAGGTAAAGAAGATTCTAGTTTGTTCAAATGATGAAGGCCTGGAAAAGGGGGGGGGGGGGTAAATCAAGCCTGATGTGCTCAGGTGAGCGCTGTGGTACCTGGGCCTCTTGTTATGTAATTTAGATGTTTAAATTTTTCTGAAGCTTGGCTTGGAGTAGAAAACATCTCATACCCACAAATAAATCTTCAAAAAAAATAAATAAATAAATATACTAAGTTTATTAAAAGTGTGGATTTTCTTATTTCAATACTTGAATAATAGTAACAGAATACTTTTTGTCAGATTCATCCCATGGACTGTAGTTTCATATGGCTGAGAGGTGACCTCTGCCAGCTGTAAGGCCGGAAGCTGGATCTTGTCTACCTAATCCAGGTCCCCACTGGCGTAGAAGCTGGATCTTGCCCACCTAATCCAGGTCCCCACTGGTGTAGAAGCTCTGCACCTAATCCAGGTCCCCACTGGCGTAGAAGCTGGATCTTGCCCACCTAATCCAGGTCCCCACTGGTGTAGAAGCTCTGCACCTAATCCAGGTCCCCACTGGCGTAGAAGCTGGATCTTGCCCACCTAATCCAGGTCCCCACTGGCGTAGAAGCTCTGCACCTAATCCAGGTCCCCACTGGCGTAGAAGCTCTGCGCCTAATCCAGGTCCCCACTGGCGTAGAAGCTCGGCACCTAATCCAGGTCCCCACTGGCGTAGAAACTCTGCACCTAATCCAGGTCCACACTGGCGTAGAAGCTCTGCACGAGTTCCTTGGCAAGGCTGAAGACATTCTGCACGAGAACATAGGGCCAGCATTCCAGGTTCCCACTGGCGTAGAAGCTCTGCACGAGTTCCTTGGCAAGGCTGAAGACATTCTGCACGAGAACATAGGGCCAGCAATCCTCTCCTGGGCCTCGATGTATGGACTAAACCTGTCCACCAAGTGGATGGAGGAACTCCGGCATTTCAACTTTCCAGTCCTGTATGGCCCTCCTACAGCAGGAAAGACTTGGATTGCCCAGTGTGCAGCCTGGCTGAGTGATTGCCCAGTGTGCAGCCTGGCTGAGTGATTGCCCAGTGTGCAGCCTGGCTGAATGGATGCAGTGAGCTGCATATTGCTTCAAGGTATATAATTTTGCTACATTCAGTGCTATCTGAACCGAAAACTTAATCCAAATTTATCTTAAAATACGAGATGAAAGGTTCATGTTAACTTGGTTAACAAACTTTTGTCCATTTTTCCTTTGTTAGGGTATTCAATGTATAATGAAGGGATTTTGACTGATTTTAAATAATTTTAAACTAGTTAATAAAAGCACACAGCTAGAAAACAATAAAAGTGAAATAAACCAAATTCACAACACTTATAACATGTAAGGAGACGGTCATTTTGCACATTTACAGTTTTTGAAGAGTTATCTGCCCTTGATGAAAAAAAAGAAAAATTTTGATTTCACAAAATTTCTGCGGTAAAAAATTATTTTATCTTATATTTTAATAAAGAGTGAGTTTATGCATATCTTCACCAAGAGATTTCTTTGAAATTCAAATTACTTTTTATCTTATAAAAACATGCACTGCCTATAGACTTCAATGTAAAATTCAAAGTGATATTAATTGGACAATAATCAAAATTTTGTAAATTCCTTTGGTGGAGCATTTTCATTTGATAATATCTTCAAATTGCTACCATGATTAAAAATATTGGACCGTTCATTTATTAGGTACAAAATATGGTCGTTAAACATTGAATACCTTAATGGAAAACAAAAATTTTATTCCTTCTCACAATTTGTTAAGACAAAACAGACTTTTCATCCATTTTCCTTTGTGAAGTGAAGACATATATTTTATCTATTTGTTCTTGTTCCTGGCAGATGTACATTGGCATTTGTTACATCCTGGCTCACATCAAGTTGTCTGCCCTTTGTGTGGGATGATCCCACTTCCACTGATGAGGTGTCCCAGTTGGCTATTGATCTGTTGGCAATGGAGCTGTAAGTTATTTCTATTCTATGCACCTTACAGCTAGGTGATGTACAAGAAGTGTCGGTTGTATCCAATTAAAAGTTACTACATGTGTAGTAATTTTGTTCTATTCACCATACAAATGCTGTGAAACAAGTGTCACTTTTCTCCTATTCCATACAAATTACAATAAATAAAAAGTTTTCTCCTGTTCCAAACAAAATAGAATAATAAAACTATTTACAAATGCCTGCCCTCTGTATGACATTGTTAATTTATTTCATTTTCAGGTGCAAGGGAAGTCCAATGATGAGACCAGGAAACCACTAACTGGTTGTCTTGTGAGAGCAAACTTCAATTTGAGTGCAGTATTTAAGTAAGGATTTAAGTTTATATTCATTTCATATTCAATGTAAACTCTAAAGGCTTAGTCTGATTATTAGTCAGGAAGGATAACACCAGAAAATGTTTAAGAATTAATTATAACCATCAACATGCTGCTTGAAATAAATTAAAGGCATGAAGCAAATATCATTCTATGCATTTTGATATGATTTAAAGTCTTTGAAGTTTAATAAAGGGCCTTGTAGAAAGTAAGTATTTTTAGTTTAAAGGAATAAGATTTTCATGATTCGATATACCAATGACATTGGCATAACATGAATAAGTATGACATTGGCATAATTAACGTGAGATTAGGATTTGACTCTACTATCCTAAATGATTTGCGACCGTTAATGCTGATTTAACGGTCGCAAACTGAGTTTTACCGGCGACACGTAAGCGGAGCCGGTAAAACGGATGTTTGCGACCGTTAAATCAGCATTAACAGTTGCGAATACCAAATTAAATGTTAAGTTATTCCCATTCTAATGCAATCAATGCATATTGTCTCTTTTTGACGTCTTATTTTGTTGAATTTTGTTACATGAAATACGTTACGGAGCATTGTATTTTTGCGTCGCACTATTATGACGTCACTATGAAAAAGCTTTCACGCTCGTTAATGCTCGTTTTACTGCTTCAAACATCAGTGTATCAGCCAATCAAAGAGTGTTTTACAAAACAACTGCATTAGAATTTTAATTTAATGTTTGTACACTTTAGGTACTTCAGCAGACTGTTCGTCATGAATATAGAGAAGACCAACCACCAAAAGAAGACGGGGGATGCCAAAGCCCTTGAGGATGCTGCCTGGGATGCCTTGAAGATGCTGCCTGGTATGCCTTGAAGATGCTGCCTGGGATGCCTTGAGGATGCTGCCTGGGATGCCTCGAGGATGCTGCCTGGGATGCCTCGAGGATGCTGCCTGGGATGCCTTGAGGATGCTGCCTGGGATGCCTTGAGGATGCTGCCTGGGATGCCTTGAGGATGCTGCCTGGTATGCCTTGAGGATGCGGCCTGGTATGCCTTGAGGATGCTGCCTGGGATGCCTCGAGGATGCTGCCTGGGATGCCTCGAGGATGCTGCCTGGGATGCCTTGAGGATGCTGCCTGGGATGCCTCGAGGATGCTGCCTGGGATGCCTCGAGGATGCTGCCTGGGATGCCTCGAGGATGCTGCCTGGGATGCCTCGAGGATGCTGCCTGGGATGCCTTGAGGATGCTGCCTGGGATGCCTCTTCAGCGCTACCAGTGGTATTGTGCCATCTGAACTCACTGACAGCAGCTGAAGTAAACAAAGAAGTGGAGAACCTGTGGTATTGTGCCATCTGAACTCACTGACAGCAGCTGAAGTAAACAAAGAAGTGGAGAACCTGTGGTATTGTGTCATCTGAACTCACTGACAGCATCTGAAGTAAACAAAGAAATGGAGAATCTGCGGCCCATACTAAGGAGTGGACATCAGGATCCTGAAAGGCATTGCCCTGCCAATGAACGTGGCAAGGATGGTATGATTTGTTTTAATAATTATCATTTATTACATGTAACTGTAAATGGAACATGGTAAAAGAATATATAGACTTTAATTGTTTTTATTAGCTATCCTCCTTTCCTTATTCTTATATAATTATTTGTATCTTTAAATAATTGTTCTAGTTCCTGAATGCTGCTCAAAGGTATCATCTGATGCAGACTGTCATCAATTACCTCTAAGAGGTCCTCATCCCATACTACCAAGAGACCCTGATGCCAACCTGCGCAGAGGTCACCAGGGCAGAAACCCGGACATTGGGGGATTCTGCATTTTCTGCAATTTTGGAAGTGTGCAACTCCCAGGTATATGTTCGACCAAATATTTGTAAAAAGCTGCAGTTAAATGTTTTTTTATAAAATAGAATCTCCATTTATATTAAGAATAGCGTTTTTCAATAACAGAGAAAATATAACAAAAATTCTTTGTTATAAAGAGGGTGAAGATAACAGTGATCTTTATTCACAGGTTTAACGACAAGTTTTTTGGGGGGTTCTTCTTTGTGTCATATATATAGGGGGGCCCACCAGGCTTTCAATTCACATTTTCTATAGAGTAAATTAGATTGGGAATGAAAGGGGGGGACACCCCCCCCCCCCAGGCCCTCGGATACTGCGCCCCTGCAAATGAAGGGCCACACCCTCATTCAAGGGGAGATAATTGAGAAATACATGTAATGAAAAATTTGATGGGATGTTTTAAAACTCTTTTTCTCAAGAACCTTTGTGCCAGGAATGATGAAATATGATGAGAATACAGAGTGGTCAGCTACATGCTTTTAACGTAAAAGTGATAGATCACGGGTAAATTAGTTCCTGGGAACAATGATACAAAACATATAGAGTACCTTTTAACTCGTGCATCTTCAGATATCAGACTCGGGGGACAAGCCTCCTTGTCTGATATCTGAAGATACTCTCGTTAAAAGGTACTCTATATATTACATATTCCCTCATTTCTTTGCATTCTCTTCACATCTACCCTTAATTAATATAAGTACTTCTGAAGCCTTATCTTAATTTGCAGATATTTATTAGGTTTATGTAATAAGAGTTTATTTCAATAAATACAGTTACAGAATATAAATTTTGTAAACTACTTCAACAGTTGGGTAATTTTATTGACAGGATACATTGTAGTACTAGTACTGGACATATATATTTAGTGGTATGTTCTTAATAGTTTAGAATTAGATATTTATATTAAAGTAAATTCCTGTAGAATTGAAGTCTTAATGTCCACTTATTTGCTATATATTTTTTTTTTTGGGGGGGGGGGAATTAAAAGTGCAAAATTTCCTTTGTCGGAGAATGTATGTAAACAAAACTGTCAAATTTTGTGAAAGTTAAAGGAAACTTCCGCTCTCTTTTCTCTGATTTGTAGATTGATTGTGCAATACAGTTTTTACTGGGAGTGATGCAGGACAAACAGAAGAAAAACAAGAAACACGCGGATCAGTTTCAGCGGATCTCTCTGAGGAGCCAGTTGTTAGAACGGGATCCAGATGAAGAGCAAGGGAACCAGTAAAATGGAGAACTAGTTTATAGGGAACTAGACACTTTTATTTGTATGTAGACTTATTTTGTAAAATTAATGAACTAAAATGTAAGTTCTCAACTGTGTTCAATTTAGACTTTTATACATGTCATACCGAATTTCAAACTTCCACCGGGACATTTGATATCCATTTGTTGTTGAGAACTAGATAATTAACAATGTTTTTATAAGTCTAGAACATCCTTTGATTTTCTTTTTTAAAAAAATTCAAATAATTTTCTTTTTCAAATTACTGCAAGTTGGGTTTATTCTAACTGTATCTAGATTACATGACCATTTATCTTTGTGATACAATTGTACTACATTGTACATGTACATAGTATTGCTGTGTGATACAATTGTACTTCATTGTACATGTACATAGTATTGCCGTGAGATATCTCTCCTTACTTTTATGAAGTAAGCTTATATAGGTGTAGGTATGATGACTCTACTGGCCAGTAATTCAAAAGAGTTATTGCCCTTAGACCTTGAAAAATTTCTCAATTTTTTCTTACTTTGTTGACCTGATAGTATGTATAGGGTAAATTTGCATTATATATATTTCAAATATAAGGACAGTTGATACAAACAAATGAATGTATGGACTAGCTGATATTAATGATATTAATTTAACATTGTAATTTGGTTGTAAATGATGTAAAATATTGAATTTCTAAAATGATAAGAACTCAAGGTGTTTTTAAAATTATTAAATTCATATGATTTGTTCAAAATGTTACCTTTTTTGCCCTCATCCTTATAAATATTTACTTTTATAATATGAGGTTATTTTGAAAGTTTTATATGAAAAAGTACAAGTTTATGCTGTTATATTTTAGAAAAAAGTTTGCATCTTATGTCCTGCTGTTTCTTTTTTTTTATTAATCAGTGTTCAAGAGAGTTATTGCCCTTAGACTCTGGAAATTTCTAATTGTTCACTGTTAAGATGCCTGGTATTGATAAACTAATCTGTAGAATTTATAATTTTTAACTAATATCTTGATTAATTCATAATTAGACCATACATTTTTTTTATATACATGTCAGTTTTATATAACTTTCTTCAAGTCAAATGAATTTAGAATGTTTGTATGAAATAAATTATATTTTTATAAAAATATACAGTTTTTACCAATATTGAATATTATTATTTGTTCAGACATTACCCGGTACTCTTGTAAATTTGATTTGGGAAATGCATGGATTCATTAATTATGGTAAAAAAACTTTTTCAAATGATAAAAATCAAGAAATCTTCATCGGTTTCTGTTCGAATAATCAGATTAAATCAAGTTATGAATATTTATGCATATATAAAGTTTTATAATACTCAATTTTCAAATTTGTATGTTTTAATTTTATTGATATTAGACATTCAGTACAGATACCGTGTTCTATGTTATTATGCTGGTTCAGACTTAAAAGGTCGCCCACAATGGAAGTCTTCTAAAGAGCATCTGCTTTATAGAGTCAAAGAGTAAGGTTCAAATCCCACTGTGGGACATGGAGACCTACCCTTTGGATGAGAGGTTCAAATCACACTGTGGGACATGAAGACCAATTCTTTGGATGGCACGAAATAAACGGAGGTCTATTTTAACCCATTTCTTAAAAAGTGGAGGAAAAAAGAATAATATTACTATATTGACAACAATAAATGAATCCTGAAAGAAAAATAAATTTTGTGAAAAATTTATCAGAGAAACCTATATACAAGTCACTTGGGAGCTTACATTTTGGAATGTTTTTATGCTGTCTAAGTGCAATAAACAAGCATGTAACAGTCTGTTATAAAATGTAGTGCAACTTTTGTTCCATAAACAAGAGGCCCAAGGGCCTTATAGGTCACCTGAGTATTTTGTAACAACTTTCAAACAATTAAATTTGGTTCGTGTTTAAACCAGAGGCCATGAAATTCACAATTTTGAAAGAGGCACCACTGCTTATCAAAATTATAAACTTAGCATGCTTACTCTATTTACTTAATAACCAGAGATAGATCAAAGTAACAAAGAGAAAATGCACGTCCACTTTATACCCAGTTGTGCACCTGACACCAAAGGAACCACTGACCCAGGGGCCACATATTTCAAAATTTTGCAAATTTTATCATAAAATGGTTAATTTATACCAAAGAGCAGATTTCAAAGCATTAATTTATTTTAAGACTATGTAAAACACTCTGACGACGGACGAAGAAGGACAAAAACGGATAGCATTAGGTCACCTGAGTTACTCAGGTGACCTAATAAAATTCATGAAAAATTCAAGGAAATTCATGAATTATTCATGATTACCTCGCAGGGGTACTGAATACCCATACACAAGGTAGGGAAACAAAAAAGCATTCCAACTAATCAGTAATATTCAGCAATAATCAGTAGTGCCTCTAACACAGAGAAATAAACCCCTGACCCTAGGTCCACACATTGTACAAATTTTAAAAAGGCACCCTCAAAATTGCCTATCAAAAAATAAATAAATTTTTTATAAATACAAAGGAGCAGATTTCAAACAAATTATTTTCAGTATATAAGTAGAGCCCCCCCCCCCCCCCCCCGACCCCTGGGGCCTTGAAATTCACAATTCTGCAATATTAGGGCCCTTGCTCATCATAACTTAATGTATTTTCAGTTTTTTTTCACCATATAATCAATAGAGTCCCCTCCCCCTCCCCCCCAACATTAGAACTCCTGACCCTGGGACCATAAAATTCACAATTTGGGTAAAAGCACTCTTGCTCATCATAACTATGCACTTAGTTAGTTTATTTAATACCTAGGAGCATAGAAGAAGATTTTCAACGAAATTCGTATATTTTCACTATATAATCAATAGACCCCCCCTCCCCCCCCCAACACCAGAACTCTAGAACCTGGGGCCATAAAATTTACAACTTTGGTAGAGGCACTCATGCTTATCATAACTATGCTTTTAGTTAGTTTATTTAATACCCAGGGGCAGAGAAGAAGATTTTCAAAGAAATCGTGTATTTTCACTGTATATAATCAATAGAGCCCCGCCCTAACACCAGAACCCATGACACTGGAGCCATAAAATTCACAATTTTGGTAGAGGCACTATTGCTTATCATAACTATCTACTTAGTTGGTTTATTTAATACCCAGGAGCAGAGAAAATGATTTTCAAAGAAATAATGCATTTTCACTACCTACTTATTTAGCCCCGCACTAGCACTAGAACCCCTGACCCCAGGGCCATGAATTTCACAATTTTGGTAGAGAACTCAATGCTGATTACAATCATGCAAACAGTTTGATTGCTTGATGTCCAGGAGTAAAGAAGATTTTTAAAGATTGCAATAATTTTAGTGGTTTTGGCCCCACCCCTCAGGCCCCAGGGGGGCAGGGATCATGAAATTCACAAATTTTGTTCCCCTTCACCCATAGATGCTTTGTACCAAATTTGGTTAAAATTGGTTGAGTGGTTACAGAGAAGAAGCTGAAAATGTTCAAAAGTTTATGAACGACGCACAACGTACGAAGTACGACGACAAACGAAAACGGATAGCAATAGGTCACCTGAGTTTACTCAGGTGAACTAATAATAGAGGGGTGATATTCAGACACACATATACGGAGTCTCTATTCTTTATGTACTACAAAGATCAAGGTCGTATCGAGAGGTCAAATATTGTGACATCATCTACTGAATCTTTTAAGTTTTTTTGCAATTGAATTTTTTTTAATCGCCAAAATGTCTGAAACCATAGGTTCAATTTTCTTTATTTTTACACATTTTATTCTAGAACCCATTTGAATCATTCTGTTGATTTTTTGTAAAAATTGAATTATACATTTTCTCTTTAGAAAACTTAAACTGTCAGATATATACATGTGAATTTTCAGTTTCTGACACAATGTATGTTCTATCTTACTTAATATTTTACCCATATTTTCCAAGACCAATGTGAATAACTGATTTAAAGTAACAAAAAGGTTATCTTTATGAAAAGTATCACACAAATTTGCAATAGATCAATAGAAAATTTTAAAATAAGGCCAGGCATTCCCAAGTCGAATGTCTGATTTCACAATCTTCTCACCTGTCTGATAGACGATATTTCAGACTGTGGGCAAAAAGTGTGCGGTTGAATTTATTTCATATATAAAGAGAGATTTTTGTATCTACATGTAAGAACAAAATATCAAAGTTTCAGAAAAATTGAATTTAAGGACAAATTTGACCTATCTATTTGGTCCTACATGTACCTTAATGGCCCCAAGTGTCGAGTAAAGGTCAAACTTTGCAGCTCTCCATCACCAAGTAGTAAATTTTTGCTTTGTCAATTGTCTCTTGGGTAAAGGGGATTCAAGTTTGCTAATTATTTTTTTTTCAAGTTTATTGAAGATAATTACAGTCAAACATCATTATCTCTACCTTGATGGGACAGAGAGAAATTTGAGATATCCAAAGAATTAAGAAATACCGTATAAGTGGAAATTTTAGCGAGACGCAAATTTAGCGATTTCTCCCTAAAAACTGGTATTTTTATTTTTAGCGAGAAGCAATTTTAGCGATTTGAAATGCTCACTAAAGAAGCTAATACAAATATAATGCAATTTATTTTTAGCGATATTCAATTTTAGCGATCACAACAGCCTCGCTAATAATGCTAAATTTAAATCCTCGCTAAAATTTCTACTTATACGGTATATGGTCTAGTCAGGAGTTGCCAATCACTTCGACATTTCCGTGGTAGTCCAGATATCTATGTTTGAAATTCAAGTACCAAAGTTCAACTGTATAAGTGAAAATTCTGTGGTGTGATTTTAAAATCTCAAGGACTATTGTGGACCATAAATATTAAACTTATGTGGAAGCTTCTTGATAAAGTGTAGATTCTAAATTGTTCAAAATCATATTGTAGGGTGGATTTGAGCATATTTTATTGTAATATTACCCTTAAACTTTCTGCACTTCAGTGAAGGATGTCAATTTTTTCCCACATACAGTATGTGAGAAAAATGATTTTAAAATCTTTTATGATGAACAAGACCATGATCACA